TCTTGTTATCTTGTGTTGGTGTTGCGTACTCATCGTTTTATTCATTGCAGTATAACTTTAATTTATTGTCCACACATTCCAACGAATAAACACATAACATTCGTATTTACTTTCTGACGTTTATTTACACACGTTTTAACTGTATTATTGAACTTTTTTCCGGTACATGGTGTAATGATAGGCAAATAATTTTCTTATATGTGTTATATTTACCTAGAGGACGCATATCCCTGTGATAGGTACGTACCTAACTTAATAACGTAAAACGTTATTTTGTTAAGTATAAAAAATTCACATGATATTATTATTATATTATAAACGTACATATTTTAACTGTAAAATCTCGACTTCTTTTTAAGTACAGTTTTTTTTTCGAAAAATTTAATAATTGAAGTTGCTATTGTTAATAAAAGTAACAATACAATTAATAAAATAAATAAAAAATAATAATTATTAAATTAATATAAATATAGTAAATCAATGTAGTATTGATGCCATAGTAGACGAATTAACCGGACAAGATTCAAGACCTAGGTATCCAGATGTTTGAATCGAAGGCTCAGCCCCATATTTTAATAATATAATATACACTATAGCACAATGTAGGTATCTATTTTGTAGTATAAATCAATTGTTATCTAGTTATAAATTATGTCAAATACTGTACGTCTGTACATGTGTAATATTATTAAGATCAATATTATATGCAATACAAATGTATGATATTCAGTGCACAAATAGATTTGGGACTTCGAAAAATCTAAATTTTCTAAAAGTGGCTAATGGCCAAGGGATGAAAAATATAAATATAACAATATGTAATCAAATTTTATAATTTTAATTTCATTAGTTCAATGAATTAATTAATTAATTATCCATATACTTACAACATTATTGGCATAATTCTTATTTAGAATTTAAGCTTTAATTAAGTTAATGAAAATTATTGGCGTTATATTATTTTTCGAGTGTAACTGATAATAATAATATAATAACTCTAATAACGTATATGTTGAAAACTAATAAAAAAATGAAATTTTTTTTTAATATGTACATAATATGTTATATTTTTTTAGTTATACGTTATCACGTGAAATGTTGTTTTATGATGTTGACAAAAAATATTCTATTTCATTAAAACTTTTCCAAATAGCAATAATTCATTTCTAACCTATTTTAATATATTATCTCATATCAAATGTACACAATCAAATTGGATTTTAATTCATAAAAGTCACTTTATTTTATCAAATACATATAAATCATACTAGACGTAAATTACATCATATTATATAAATATAATATTTAATATGAAAATGATTTGTGGTATATAATTAACAAATTAACAAATTAAACATGTTAAAACCGATGTTTTTGTTCATTTTCATAATGGAAAACCTAATAAATGTGCTATAGAAAATGACAATTTAATTTAAACTTCAAATGAATGACTTGATAGTAACAAAGATAATAATATGGTACATCTCACAGAAAAGCATGGAAGCTTTTTATCAAAATGCTGTTATTTATATACCTAAACCACCGTGTCAACAATATAATTATCCTAAAAGGGAGTTGTGCTTCTCGTATAAAGACATCAACGTTATGACAATTTATTTTCATGATTAAGGTAAGTTCAACAGTTTTAAAAAGAAAAATCCGTGTTACGTAAAATATACGATAAAGAAATCGAAAATTATAATTTCCCATTTTGGACTCTGAAAAATGTCTGTAGAATACCTATAGTAGAATTTGTACTACATAGGTAATACAATTCTTGATAGATAAAATTGAATGCATAAACCCGAACAAATTAATGATTTTAAATAGTTTTATAAATCAAATGGATAATTTTTATCATTTCATTTTAAAGGTTAACATAAAGCTTCAATTTAACTAGGTATACAGATTGTTGAATTTACATATAAATGATAAGTAAATATTTTCAAAATAAAAATATAACATTTAATGTATGATTAATTTTGTACAGTAGTCAAAGGTAAGTAAAAATGTATAAGAAATAAAATACATGATATTATTAAAAATATTACACGAATCAATAGACTTATAAATACTCATTGGTCACATCTTTTTGGAAATTATTCAAGTATAATTCTTGTTTTAATTTTGTATAATAATATAATATTTAAAACAATCGTAGTAGAATGTTATAAACATATCTCAAGATCCAGAAAGTAAGCGTGTAAATTGCAGATAAGTTTAAGAATGGAATGTATAAAAATGAACTGGATTAATCTAGAGGTCAATGAATTATAATGACATACATAAATGTTAGGTCAACGTGTGTGTAGTGTTAATATTATTTATTTTGTTTTATGGACACAGTGGATCGTGGGGTACGGGTGGGTTGTCGTTGAGATAGACACAAACTATAATTCGTTATTGTGAGTGGATGACTACGGTCCCTCCCATATTTAGGGTATTTTACACATAGTATATTTTTATTACAATGCAATTTATTATTCTGTGTGTTTTTATGTGCACTTACGTTTTTTTGGTAACTGCTAATGTTTATGAAGTGATGCTGCGTGTGCTCACGGAAATAACTTAGCCGAGTTGAGGTCGATGTTCGCTGAGATAACTACGTTAAAATATTAGTTTCGTTCTGTATGGCTTACTGAATCGCTGTATTCAAATTTCATATTATATCATACTTGATATTCGATAAGAAATTACATTTTGTTTATACAATAAATTATATGATACACTATACTATAATATGTTAACATCAAACTCAATGTGGGGTATCGAAACAATAGTGCTGTATCACACTTTTACAAGCCTTAATATTAAGTTCTGTCATAACGAACACAGTTTATGTATGCTTATGTTCGGGTATTTTTTTTTTAATACCTACTGAGAGTGTTATGGTTGATATGTGTTGCCTAACATTATTTTAATAAAATATTTCCTCAATGTTTGAATACAAGACGTTCCAAAAATAACTCCCATGCATTTGAAAATGTAAACGACAAAAGTAGGTGTCTTTTTTGTAGGACGCCCTGTATTATAATGGGTATAACTCAATCGTAATAATTATTTAATTTCGTTACTGGATATAATTAATTATACATAATCATTGTACTCACCTAATTCTACTTAAAAATGTATCGTCAAATTTTTAGTAATTTAAACGCAGAGACTTTCGTTGGTATCGTGTAGGTGTATTATTAGTTATATCCTTTAGGGACCGATTCTCGGTTAATATCACCTTAATATATTACTGAGAATATAGGTACTCTGAATATAATCTGCCTGAGAAAATCGCCACTATTATTTAATCATTAAGGTTCGATTTTAATTCGATGTTATCCTAATAGGTACTCAAATACTAGAAATCTAATTACATGTCTATGCGCATTGTTTAGTTATAACTTATAATAAAGAGAATTATCTCAAAAAACTAACTATTGAATTTTACTTATAACTTATTCTCTAACTATATAATAAAAGCGACGTTTGTTGACCATTGGGGAATACGAGTAGACCTACTACCTACCTACGCAATAGTTTACGAAGTTCTCAAGTGTTAGTGAAATAAAATGACATGTTTATCCGCTACATTTTAATACTACATATATGCAATATCCAAAGTTGTTAAAGTCAAAGAAATTACGGAAATAGGAGTAGGTACATTACAAATAAAGTCCACGCACGTCCCGTTTGAATTCAACCATTTTCTATATAAATCGAAACTTTTAGAAGCTAAACATAATGGAAAACTACAGTTCAAAAATACGTTGGCTATTAATTTGGGTTTGAAATCCAATATGATGAATCCAAAAATGTATACTTGGGATAATAACAACTATTAATTTGGTTGGTAGAAACTTCTGCAGTTGAATGGTGTATTATTTTATTCATTAACATATTTTTTTTTTGGTGGATTTGAAATTATATTTTTGTTAATTACTTTTTTCTAATGAAGTATAGCATAGTTCAGTGTAAGATTTCTTCATTACTTTATGGTATGAAAATTAAATATAATATATGTTAAACCTGACTTTTGTAACTTTCACTTGGTAAATGTATGAGAAAATTGTATAATCATTACTACTTAAGTAGTAAAAAAAAATAGTGATTTGCAAAGATAAATAATTCCAATGAGTTTTTTATACAATGTATTATAATAATTTTACTTTATGAAACTAAAACGGCCACATACAAGTGCACAGAGTATATGTTTTTCAATGAGTCCAATATTAAATTGAAAAAAAAACAGCAGGTAATATTAGATTATATAAGTACATTTCAATTGCATATCAAATAATATAATTACAATTTTTAATAAATTTACTATACATAATCGTTATACATTATGCTTATTTTGTTACCTACTTTTGATAAATATTTTATAAATTGATAATTTTAAAAATCTTATCGATTATAATGAGAAACAAAGTAAAATAAAATACTATCCAGATGTATACTGTAGGCTTAGTTGGTTGAAACATAATTGATAATATTATTTTTAAGAAATGTAATTTTGAATGAAGTTATTGAAGACCTTTTAGTCTATAAACAGTATAATTTTGATAAGCATATAATTATGTGTTGTAACTATTATAATCTTCATATTATGTAGGTACTAGGTACCTATGATGAAGGAAATAAATAATTGTTGAATAAGTAATAAGCTATATGTACCCCATTTACAAATTAATTTAATTATTAGAATTTACAGTTGTTTAGAATTAAACTGAAACGTGTTGTATTCATATTAATATAGTTAATAATGATATTTTAAATGTAATATTATAATGTGAATACTACCAGGTTAGATTTTAATTAAGAAAATGATGGTCGTCACACAATATCAACAATTTGCTAAAGAAAAAAAAACTCTCAAAGTTATAACTAAATAGACAATAATTTAGGATGGACGTATTATACACTACACACATTAAAATATAGAAATGGATAGTTGAAACTTGAATTATACAAGACATTAATTAATTAATATTTTTAATTTATTTTAGGTGCCAAAGTCTGGATGAAGTTCTAGTGAAGACAAACTAATGGAGGTAAGAATGCTAAACCAATCAAAATAAAATAATATTTTATCATGTTAAATATTATACCTGCACTAAGAGTGAGAAATAGTATACTACATTATTACAGTATTCTAACAACTGTTACTTATGTACAAATAAATGGCTGGTTCTTAGTTTTTTAAAAAGAAAACAAAAGTAGGAATGTATACTTTATGGTTTTTTTTTCATTGCTTATTTGTTACATATTAAAATATATAAAATATATTTAAAAAAAAAATTATATCGACTCCTAATGTTAGTATTACATAATATTATTAAATTTAACTGTTTTGTTTATGAAATTAATATCAATTGGTATCATTTTACAAACAAACATACATAAAAGGAACGTTTAAAATGTAATTATTAATGACGGAAGAATAAAAAAAACTGAAATAATATTTTTCTGTTTGTGGAACAGATCCATTATTGGTGTTTCGCTATTGAAATTTACTGTTTAATAAATCCATACAAATAATTTTTATCTTGTCTGTATCATACAAATTATTTAGGAAGCCGTGAACATCATAAATAATAAAATACCTGGAACAATGATTGCGTGTTCAATTATTAGTAAAAATGTTTAATGTTGTTATGAGGATGTCAAGTAACCAAAAACTGGATATATCTTCATAATGGTATGTGTCAAATTTCAAAAAACTGCAGTCAATTTTTCTTTTGGCGGTTCATTATTATCTCAGCCAAATAATAGCATTGCCAATATTATAATATTATACCTAAGAGATTTAATCTATTTAATTTGAAATCCCAGCGCAGTGTTCAGTTACACTATTGGAGTTCTACAAACGCTGTGTTTTGCATTCAAATGTTTGTGAATTTAAAGGCATAGGTAGGTACTATATGTTATTAATACTATTAGCTCAGTACATTAAAAACATACATAAATACATATTTTAAAACATAATTTATTAATCGTGTTCAGAATGATCATCGAATAAAGACGGTATTTTGTTCAAAATTGTTTAGATATTAATATAATTTGTGTGCTTATTTGTTGCATGTATTTTGTACAATTTTATAATAAAGATGCTAAGCTAATATTTACGAATGAGAATATGAATAAGGAAATATAAACAGCTAGAATTCGAACTGTTATTGGTAGATATATTATTTATTGAAATGAACGATAAGATAACGAGGGGAAAAACTATAAAACAAATTAAATGCAAACAAATATATATGTAAAATCAATTGGAAATAACTTATGTTCGGTGTTAACTTCATCTTATAACAAAGCAATTTACGTGCAACATTAGTTGTCCACCTTGCATAACCGGGAGAATACTAATACAAAATAAATGACTAAAAATTATCGAATTTTCATGTACACCGTACAAATAACTGTAAACTCAATACAAAAATGTTCATAAAAACCCCAACTGGAAAAATAATGGGCTATTTTCTCCAAACAATACAATATTCCAAATATGTTATCAAAACTTATATTATTGAAAAACCCACTCAGAGAACTAAAGCATATATCATCGTTGACCTCTATTCTACGGAACACAATAGAAATCACTAACATAATTTTTCTCTGTAAAGACATATTTTATAACCTAACCATATAAACAAATTCATACTTTTTTAACACCTTAATAACAAATATTGTAAATTTCAAAATAATTGTCACTAATAATTAATAGGTACATAGTTAATTTAATTGTATTGAAACTGCATGCGCAAAACCTACCCATATTATTAAGCATCTAAAATTACTTAAAAAAAAAAAAAACAATAAAAAAAACAATTTTTTCCATATTCAGTACCAAGTGAGGGTATTCGCTTTGTGGCACAATAGATGGCGAGTGTAACTCGTCATTAAGTAAGTCACTGCAATTGATATTGATAATATGAGTTTGAATTCAGTGATAAATCATTGTAAATTAAACCTTACAAATATATGATCACAAAATGTTTATCAGCACTTAAAAAACCAACAAACAAAAAGTTTATTGTACATCGAACCTCTGCTGTGCAGTAGTAATTTCAACTGTCGTCAAGTATATCATTGTAATGAATGTGTTAGATTTGAATTCAATGATAAATCATTGCATGCAAAAAATGAATAAGTGTCATTCTAGCATACTCCTATAAATATTTAAAAACTGCTAAATATCAAATATTGTAAAAAATTTAAAATCAAACGCTCATAAAAAAATAATGTTATTTTCAGTGAAATTTTTCTTCTTAAAGGTAGAAATGTTTCTTATGTAAGCTATACAAAGAAATATTTTTATGAATTTAAAAGTTTCAAGTACCCCATAATAATAATTTTACACTACAATGAAATACATATACATTTTTCATTGTATAAATATCAAATTTTATCCAATTTTAAACTTAATAAATATCTGTAAAAAATAAGTGTGATTTTTTATTATTTTTGGCTACAGTATAAACTATTAATAAGAAACTTTGTTTTAAATTTGCTATCCTCAGCTATAAAAATTTAACATTAAAAAAATTTTAACCACGAAATGATTTGTACATTTTTGAGATTTTAACGAATCTTGACAAATGTTTAACTTTAGACGCTTATAATAAAATATTATGACTATGCACATTCGGTTTTTTTTTATTTGTTTAAGAATAACTTATAAGGGTCCTTGTATTAATCATTATCATTCTATACCTACTGCTATCACAGAATAACCATTAATATCACTTAATGAGAATCAAACGGTTGAAAATCGGTGAAAAATTTTCGGTATATCAGTGTAGCCAGAATTTGACCATAACTTAAAATTCTGCTGTAACTGAATCTACACATTTTTATACAGTCTACTCTAATATACCAATACATGTATATCAAATTTATTCTTCATAAGAACCCATGTATATCATTTTATTCTTATAACGGATATTTTTCTTTAAGTACTGTCATTTTTTTGTTCTAAGATGATTATTTATGAACTCACAAAATTGTGTTTCGTCTGTAACGTGTAAGATAGACAGAGAGATTAAATGCAAGTTTAGCGTTCTGTTAAGCAATGTTACGACGATTGCCAATTTAATTACAGACCAGCAGTTTCTACCCAATAATTTAGTATATACTAGGGTATTTATTAGTAGCCTCGGGCATGTACCTAGTACTAAATTCTGAAAGTAAAATTGTGTTTTATAATCTTTTCTATCGCTTATAAGTTTAACTATTTTCATATAACAATGAAAAAAATCAGGCAATTTATTTTTATTAGGTAGCGGTACTCATACCATTACACATGGAATGAAAAAGAAAGGAGTGGAATATAAAAAGGTCTTCAAGACCCCCCCAATTGAAATTTAGAAATCCTTAATTTTATTAGGTTTAACTATTATTATCACAGTAAAATACCATGAATTTTATGTTTTTTAATTATGAACCATATGCAGGAAAAAATACCATTTTGGTCATAATTAAGTCAATAGGTAATATTAATTCGTTACACATTATTACAATATATTCCTATGTATTATAATTGTTAGACGATTAGAATTAAGATACATGCTGCGGAGAAATGAATTATTTAAAAGCTATTTTTAGCCAATGGGTCACATCAAAAAGGACTTTATTGATTTACGCTGTGGTGGGACCCTGTCTTACTGTTAAACATCTATGCCTTTTAAGTTGTATACATTTAAAGGATTCCACTCTACCAATTTTTTTTAGAAAAATTCACCTATTTACCCATATGCGTTCAAACTTACTGACCTTGAGTCTTACTCCTGTAATTATTTTGAAAACATATTTGAATTTACTATAATTCTTATTTCGAGTCATTCAACATAAAGTGTGGTTAGCAACTTGAAATTTAGAAAAAAATCTTGTATTCAGAAATTCCGATGGAAGCAAAATACAGTTTTAAACTTTTTTTTATAATTCTGACTTAAGTAATTAAAAATATACTTTATAATAAATTTAAATATGTTTAAAAAATTCTTATTGGAGTAAAAATTAAGTCAGTACCTTAAAATCCGTGTACATATTTTATTTTGCACCCAAAAACGGTCGTGTGGAATTTTCGTTGTATAGGTCACCTTAATAAATTAAAAAAACATTATTTTATATATTTTTTTCTTATCATTAATAAAAAGTGTGTTAAAATGTGTAAAAAAAGTTTTAAGTATTAATTTTTGTAGATTTGTAACTTGTAAGATTATGTAATTTTAGTAGAAGAGAGTATGATGGGTAAAACTCGAGAGACTGTGTGAGACATTTACAATAGCACCCTAAGATTAAGAGGTCTAGTTTCACTTATGATTACATTTTTGTATTTTAGTGTCATTTAAATGATATAGGAATAATTTTATTTTTTATTTAAGTACTTTCTCGTGGCCTTAAAATTGTAATGCCAGTTACATTTTAAGCACATTGTAAATAACTTTCTAACTTCACTAAACAGCTGCATAGCTTGTGGTTTGAAAATTCCCGAACTAAGGAACATGGTAAATAATATTTAATTTGAATAATTAATGACGTAAAAAGATTTTAAATAATCTAATAACATACATCAACTGTTATTATAACAATGAATTCAATATTTATTATTTTGAGTAAATCATTTAAGTTTTTCATTGTTACTAACATCTATTATAATTTTTAGAGGAGCGAAAAAATGTATAAATTTAATAATAATAAATGTAAAAAAAAGTCTAAGTGAGGTTTGTTTGTGAATCTATTATTATTGAAATTGTAGGTGGTAAGTGGTCAAAATTATCAATTGTATGTGTGAGTGGTAAATGTTTGGGCACCACTCATCAATAGTAGAAAGCATAATAAAGTAAGTAATAAGGATTTTATTTTTATACAAATGATAATAGCACTAAATAAATAGCTAAAAGGGAAAAGATAAGTGATAACATTGAACATTTCTTAGTTCTAATAGCTGATTTATCAATGAGATTTAAGTTAAATTTAATAAAATGTGTAACATTTTTATAATATAATGCTATTATATTTACCTGTGTAATTGTTTTTATTAATTGTA